TCTAGCACTTGGTAAAATTTGTTTAAAGTTTGAAGCAACATCATTCAAAGTCCTTCCACTGTTTACTGGCTGTGAGGAGGAACTTTAGGCCTCTTCTCGCTCCCCTTTTCGCAGAATGAAGCGAGATGATAAAAAAAGACAAAGTTAATTTTTAGAGCCAAAAATCGACAGACAGATAGCGGAAAGGGCATTAAAGACAGAGAGAAGCAGCAGTGGAAAGCAATGCCCAAGCCTAGGGGTAGAATGAAAAATCCAGAAGGGAAGAGAAGAATAAAGCCCCAATCCTTTTTCTTGCATATTCATCGCTATCCACACGCTTCATGCTGTCGGAAACATGCAATGGCGAGGTGACGAAACGTTTGACATCCCACGGTGCACCACAATGGACAAAACGTGCCATTCATTACAGAACAGCAAAACACATACTCAACCTCAAAAAAAGTACGACCAAGACGGAGTTGAGCGAACTTGAAGGATTTTGGTGCACTAGCTTCTACTTGCACCTTATGAAATAGATCAGAATTCCAAGCGTGTGGAATGAATTTCAATGGAGAAAACATGGCAATTAATCAAATTTAACTAACGGCTATGGTATCATACTAATAGACCGAAGCGGTTACCAACATTTTTTTAAGACGAAACGTGGTAGAAAAACTTTTAAAGATGCGAAACAAATGCAGCACAGTCTTGAGATCATGAGATGAATTGATTCTGAAAAAACGTACTAAATGACGGAAGATTTGTGGAGAAGGGCGGTGCCATTAAAGTCGCCATTTCCCTTTTTTCCTTCCCTCCACACAGGGCCGTTGTTGAGTGTCCGACTGCCGGGCAGTGCCAAGACAATGGCAGGCAATTTCTCTGGAGGCAATTTCAAGAAACTGTTTTGCCGTTTCATCGACGTAGTATGACTAGCATGTTTACATTGCATGGACTTGCATCAGCCTGTTGCAATGGAGCTGATATAAGGGGCTTCCCAAAAATTCATGGAATCCAACGAAAGAGAGTAAACAGGATTTCTTTAACATTATTTTTCTCTAAGAGGGTCTTCACGATTTCTCCACATAATTGCCGCTTACCTCGATGCACTTTTTAAGGTGCCGCACCCACTCTTCAAAACACTTCTCAAAATCCAATTTTGTTCAGCTTGTCCAGCTGCTCCTGCGCAGCATCGATGAGTTCCTTCTCGTTTCAAAGTGTTTTCCACGCAGTACGTCGTACTCGCCAGATCTGGCGGCATGTGACTTTTGGTTGTTTTCAAAAACCATGGCAACATTACATGCATTTTGTTGCATGATATGGTCAGGAAGAAATAGATACTTCCTGATCTCATAGACATCTCCAGGATGTTTCTTCTTGCATTATCTCTTTTCGGGTTGACTTTTTCGAACTTGACCCGATCGACCCGACCTCATAGGATCCGACGACGCGTCCCACTCGAATGCCTCGAGGAGAAAATTGCTGAAAATTATCGCGAAAAGGAATTAGGGGTCTCAGAGGATGGGAAGCGATGAATATTAATAATTTTAGCTGGGAAAAATGAGAAAAGAAGCAGTAATTTTAATATGTTGTCATGTTGCGGGACTGCCCGTTTTCGTTGGAACAGAAACCCTTTTTTGTTGTCAGAGGCGAAGTAAAGGCTCGTGAAGGGAGTAGTGGTACCGCACTGGCCCGACAAGCAGGAGACCGCGTCTTCAAAACCAGTTTCTTCCCCTCTTTTTTTTTTTTACTTCCAATCCCGGCCGGCATTCCTACCTTCGGTCCTCATGACATTTGCCCCAAAGAAAAAACTGAACCCACAAACTTTTTCTCGCAGTGATTTTGCATTGCTTTCTATATTCTCCCACCACGGGTCACTACGTTCCGCCAGCCACTGAAAGCGGATGGAGAAAAAGACCCTCTGATTGTGTACTCGCCTGCACCAAACAAGAAACTGGATTGCCAACCGAACTGCCCGCCAAATCCGAGTTTCAGACCGATCCAATCGAGTTCGTCGACATCCCGTGCCAAGCTTGAAATCATCCCTTTTATCCAATGCCTGGGTGTTCGAAACTTCAACTACGTGCCTCACTTGAATTTGCATACATCTAGTTGAGGGTTCCCTGACTGCGTGAGGCATCCCCTACTGCTTATCCGAAGTGTGGCACTTTGAAATTCGAACGGTACCCGTTTAATAACCTATTTTCTCTTACTGTTAATTACAAATAAGACCCGAGTTATTTACGTCAGTTGAACCGTTGTTACCCGCGAATCGAACGCGGATGTGGACTAGTGCAACTAATAATGTGGAAGGAATGGCTTCGGCCCAATGTAACTCCCACAACGGCCGAGGGAAGCACGGTCAGCCGAGTTCGGGTGGAGGACGGGCCGGGGTGACTCCTACTTTCGCTGCAGGTGGAAACTCGCTCCCGGCATGCCGATCGACGGGAATCACAAGATGGGACCCATTCCTGGAAATGGACGTTAAGACGGAAGACACGGTCTGATTTTATCGGAATGCGCTGCCTCTCCCTGGCTTTACCATGCAGTGACTGATCTGGAGTTGGAAACATTCAAGAAATAGACTCCGTCCAAGAGGAGTCCCACGACGGCCGAGGCAAGAACGGTAAGGCAAGGGGCTCCACATCCCCACTGAAATGGCTCATTAAACGCGAAGCAGACAGCAAATCGATCTAACGTCATGGTCGAGTCACCTGGAAAAAGGACAGTTGAAGGAAGAGAGAAGTAATGAGTCTTCCCGGTCTTTGTCGGCAGATTAGCTCCTTCCGTGAAAGACATGACATTCTGACATCCTGACACGGATGCCACATGGGTCTTCCCTCCTGAGGTGAATATATATATATTTCTGTCTTTACGATCTCCTCATGCAAGCAGTTTCATCATGTGGCGTCACTGTGTCATTCCTGAAAGGCCAACCACTCCTGCTCACATTTACCATTCCTGCTGTTCTTGTATAATAAAAGCTGCCTCTGGCAACCATGTTTTTCCAACCTGGAGATTAGGGGAGGGGACTGTCAAATAGATGACATTTTATGACCACTAATAGGGTGACCCGTCATTTTCGCCGACAAACTCGCAGACTTCCCAGTGATTCGACTGTACATGCTCTCTCTGAGATGAATTGTGAAAGTATGAATAGGCCTGCGATTGACCGAACGTTAAACGTCCTCAACGAAACGTCTCGATCACCACAGATTCATCTTTAAAGGCCTAATTTACCCCGTGAGTCCTGAAGAGACATTTCTTTAAATTTAGAATAAAGGTAGGCTCAGCGGTGACCTGACGGCAGTCTGACCATTCAAAACTGGTTTTCACATTACTCCCTGAATTATTATATCAGTGTATTCGGTCTTGTGGACGGATAAGAATTTCCTTAACATTCACTTCAGCTCTACATTGAACAACATCTTGCTGAGATGAACGTTCTCCCCCCCAAAAGCAATTCATGCATGCATCCATTAAAACGATTAGGGGTGGATTTTTGAACAGAGCACTATCGGATAATGCAGCTTTATTTACCGGATAAATAATGCATTTTCTCTGAACTAAAGCTGCATTATCGGATAGTGCTCTGTTCAAAAATCCACCCTAGATGTGTGAATTCAGGATGATGCAAAGCATATAGTGGCAGTTGAAACAGCGCGTGATGCCAGTGCATTTATGAGGTCTTCATGGGGTTTCAACTGGGTTTGTTAGGATGAATCGTTTGGAGAAAATGTGAAATTGTGACTACATGGAAAATTCTCCTCTCCAACGGCCTGAATAATTCCCACGTATAGGGAGAAAATGACCAGCAATTCATTTTCGGGACGATTAGAATATTTAGCAACGAATTCATCACGCCCTGAAAGAAAACAAGAACTTGTGATACATTTAATATTTCTATTTTATTTTATTGTACAAGTTCTTTTATAAACTTTAGGGTCATTGGCAATGACGAAAGGCAACGTGTGATTGACCGCATTCGAGCATTCGCCTATCGAGAAGTTAGGGAAGCAGACTCTAGGTTCATTAATTGAAAGTGGATTGCTCACCACTCCATCGCAGGGAGAGATTAAGTTACAGACGACTGAGTTGAGAGATTGAGTTACAGAGAACGATGGTTACGAATTTTGGTTTACGAAATTTATTGACGGCAGGCTGGGAAACACTGTCTCAAGAGAGCAAAAACATTGTGGCGGAGAACAATGGAAAAAGACTAAGAAAAGAAGCAGCCGTCGAGTTGCAGAAGGCACATAAATGAGGTGTGAAAAGATTGTTAAAACGTCAACGATACAACGATACCGTATCGAAAAGAGGCATGAAGGCTTAAATTGACAAAGTAGAAAGTATGACGATTAGTGTGCGATTAGTGAGTGGTTCTGGCCGAAATTCAGAAGCGGATGTCTTTCAAATTTTTCAAGATGTTATTCATGAACCGGAAAATGTAACTTTTGGCAATTTTCGTGAGATCATACCCTCAACATTTGAGCGGTTCGGGTGAGGCCAATGGCGGCATCACAAGATACTGATGCATCAATATAATCTGATGGAGTAAAGGTTTAAATTGATGCATTATTTACAATAGTTCTATTTGTACTTAAGGATGTACCCTCCTAGCAAAAGGTTATGCAAGAAATTGTACAGTCGTGCAAGCAATTATCTTAATTTAGAATAATATTGCTGAAACCGACAGAAAGGATCCATGGAGACACACAATTCAACGATGTCAGGCGGTTGGAAAATGAGAGTGAAACACGTTGTACACAAGTGAGGATCATAACTATATGGGTGAAAATCCATTAGTTTTCATTTGAGATGATCGGAGAATACGTGGTCAAAAGCGGATCTCCGGGTTTCCTTCAGGGGGGGACTATGATAGACCGGAATATCATCCCAAACCGACACGCCTTTACGAGGATAATTCTTTCCCCACACTTCCAGGTCCTGATTTTTCCCTATCGAATCGAAGGAGAAGAAACTGTCGTGTATCTCTTAGGGTTGCGAATTTGAAACGATGCGATTCATGTGTGACATGAATGCTCACATGCAAGAATAGCTCGCCGTTTCGGTCCCATCTCGTCATGCCGGGGCTTCCTCCATCCGTACAAGGCCATGTCGAAGATCCACTCGAGAATTTCCATAACCGAAACGAAGGACATCCCGGTGTAGAGACCCAGCAATCCTCCCAATGTTCCGATGAAGCTCGACCACTATCGAGGGCATTAGAGATGCAAACGTCAATTTTTACGACAATTTCAAACAATGGTTGAAACCTCTGAAAATACTCGACTCACCGGGTATAGTGGAATCTCCGAAGTTTTCTGTACAGACATGGTTTCGTAGAAGACGTTCACCACAGCCACTTGCTCACTGAGGATAATTAATAAAGTATTTAATTAAGAAAACATCTCTAGCACCATTTCAGTGCCTCCGATTAGTTGTCGAATGTTTATATCAGATGGGAGAAAGGCATTTTTTCATCTTCAGGCAGATGTTGCCTGCCTGTCCATCCCCAGCAAACAAAGGAACATTCAATGAACGTTGTACGAACGTTAATGTTGATATCTGTCGCCGTTGTGGGAAGGTTCCATGTAACATTAATTCAATACATCAATGTCACTCATCGCAATACTCGGATGAAAATTGACGTTCACTGGCTGAACATTGGGCCCACAGAGCAATGTCACTTATTGGAATGCTCACTCCCACCCCAATAGTACCCCAATATTGGGCCAATGATGAAGGCAACGTAATACATTTATTGCTCTGAATGAAATCAACTTTAGTACTTTCCAGGGAAGGTTCTCTCTTTTCTTACTCTGCAAAGTACTCAAAATCTCCTTTTTCGCTCCTAGTTGCAGATTGATCCGAGTATCCATTCTGCTACACGAGAAGAGTAAACCATGGTCAGAGCCAAAACATGATTAAATTTCTGAAAACTCTTTCATAGACAGTACTGTATATGCTTGCAAGGGGTTCTCATTGGGAGTATGAGCTTTTTCCTGACCTTGCCTCAAAAAGTCATTCTCAAATACGGGGATAATAAATGATTAAGTGTCCGATTTCATTCATGACTGTAACAAGACTAGGAAAAACATATAGTGAAGTACTAAACACTGTTGTGAGGAAAGAAGGATGGAAAGAGGGAATCCAGAGAATTTTCTCTTAAAAGATCTTCATATAGCCCTTCATATGTCCCCTCTGGATTATTTTCTCTGGGGCTATATGAAGGAGAATATCTTTTGAAGAGAAACTTGCAAAGATTCTTGACCTAAAGGATGCAGTGACACGTCATTTTAGGTGTCACATGTGAAACTCTTCAGACGGCAGTTGAAACCTTCGCCGTCAGAGTTCGCTCATGTCTACAAAATGGAGGACGATTTGAACACACATTATAACCACATGAAACTTGTGAGTTTTCTGATCATTTCGAAGATTTTTCTCATGTTTATCTTTATTAAAAACAAAATAGCACATCAAAATTTGTAACATTTTTTGGTCCACCCTGTATATACGCTCTGTACAGCCAATAAATACTGATAATCTTATCCGGCCAAATCTGAATCTAGTCAAATTTAACCAGAAACAGGGATAAAAAAAAAACATCCCAGACAGTCTACATGTTATCTGCGAGCTGACAGTAAGGGAGAGTACAAATGTCGTATTATCTTCATGATTCCATGGAATCTATGCTGGAAAAAGCATTCAATATCTCAATGATTTGGCACCATGTAGTTCATATGAAGTATTGGGAACGGATTGATAAATTAAAATTCACAATATAAACAACCTCAGAGTGGAAAATATACGCTTCTATTCAGTTATTAGGCGTTGCAGTTTCCCATGCGTATGCGTGCCTATATTAATGTTGGCGTTCAGCATTACTAAGTCAAATTTGGATATTTGCGTTATAATGACGTTGATTACACGACAGATGAAAGGCATGGGTGCGTTTACCATAGATCATTAGTTATTCATAGAGGACTTAGAAGAAAACCGTTGGCGAAACACAAAACTCCATGCGATGCTATTATTTCTGGCTACATTTCCATTTTCTTCAGAGTAAGATTACACGGATTGTGCTAACTTGGGACGACGACAGTAAATCCTGCTTTCAAGCTCACTTCCCTTCGTATTCTTCAATTCGTTCTGCATCCATGCAAAGAAGTCTACGAGCAAGGAGTCTTCGCTGCCCATCTTCGACGTGGAAAACTTCTTCTCGATGGTCCTCTCCCTAAATCACCAGCGCATGGTGTTTCCCATTCGTGTCTTAAAAGGTGAAAGATGCAAACTAATTTTGGCGTACTGGCAGCGCTGAGGAGGACAACCACAGGAACGATCTGCATTAATCTCCTCCTTTATAATATCCGGGAAGAGGTTATCTAGGGCTACAAGAAACAGAAGTAAAAAATTCCTCAAGTGAAAAGCTTTAAAACTAATGCATATAATAATATATGTAATGAAGCCATTTTTATATCACATGGCTGTGCTCATAACGAATGAGAAACAAAGTAGTGCAAGGGCATTTGGGAAAATGAAGAATAGTATCAAAATTCTCACCCCCTGTGCAATTTATCTTCATTGCCGGGTTTTGAAGGTTTAGTAGATCAGGATAGCTTAAATGGAGGCAGTTTGGTGCGTAGTCCTACATCAATTGGGTGACAACGCAAAGTTTCTGACATTCCTAAACGAGGGAGAGGGGCAAGGAATATCTGGTATAATATTTCCATGGATATGGAATGCGTCATATGTGAAGGAATCTACCTCCTTCGAATAATGTGTTTCATTTTTGATCTTGAAGATGTTGGAGTCGAATCGTTTCAGGAGGTAAGAATCAGGGGCACAATTTCCCCCATTTTCAGAGAGAATTCGTTCGTATTCCGTCATCTTGAGGCCAAAACTGGAAAGCATTCCCAAGTTTGTGTCGAATCCTTCTTCACCATGAAGTTTAATAGTATCCTGGGGTTGCCGAATATAGAGTTTGTATCCTTCGCCTTGTGAAGAGCGGTTCGACTTTTGTGGAAAATGTGCTGCCAGGTAGAGCCGTAGCCCTTGCTACTTAATTTGAGACGGGGATAGATTACGTTACTTACACTACTCAGGGTTTAACCGATAACAGGATCGTACCCAAGGAGCCTTAGTCGCGCTCATTCCGGCATATGAGTTCTGTCGCACGACTTGTTTGTCCCTTTGGTAGTTGAAGGTAAGGCATTCACCAAGACTTCCCATAGTCTCCTTTAAGAAATCACTGAAAGTTCCGAAGAATGCAATAGTCACAACCGATTTCACCTGGAACATAATGCTTGGATTTTATTTTAATTTGAGATCTTCATGGCATTGTTATTCTCCTCAGAATGATTGACTTTTTTCTCTAGTTTATTCAATGATTCGGATATGAAATTTTTTAGGCTGTGAAACTGAAAGTAATGGTTAATGATTAATGTTTAGGCACGTTATCATATTCAGGAAGGACTTCTCGGCAAACAAGTCTATCTGGAGTAAAAGTCGCACGAGAGATTATCCTTTGCATTGATAGATTGGCTATTGGCTTGGAGAAGGAAAATTATCCTTACGTATCTTTGCAAGGCTCCTCATTGAAGCTGCAATGGAGTATGGAATTCTCAATACGTGTAGGATTCAAGTCTTTGGGCTTCACGTAGAAGGTACTTCATCGAGAAGCGAAGGGTGCAATGCAGATCTGCCCTCCGTCCTCTTTCTTTGCCTGGTTCGTATCGTTCGAGAGATATGACGAAGTTGTCATTCTTGGTTGGTTTTCGTCATGTGGATTTGATAGCAGCTCGAACACCGAATTCAGAGTGTAATCCACCTCAAGCATTCCTTCCATTGGGCTGAAGAGTCCAGAAAAATCGTAAGGCAAGTTGTCGATCTGATATTTCTGAGGATATATAGTAACGGCTGGGAAGGGAAGAGTGTCCTGTAACTCCATCTAGATGGCAAATGTGTAGTATATTGGTAACATTCCAGGTTCGCACTAAGAGACGATGTCAAAGTGTTAAGATCATTATACCTGGGTATTAGTAGTTATTGGGCCAGACAGGTATGCATTGATGATGTCGATGATTCCGTAGAGCATATAGCCAGTAGCGATGAGAAATACTAACAGTCAGAATAATTTTCTGAAGGGAGAGGATTCCCGGTATGCAGACCGAGCCAGTGCCTGGGTAGAAGCATTAAAAATGATAACGCATCTGCCTATAACGTCATACGACGGATTCTCGACGACTTTAGGCAACGGCACTGGCATTCTCATTTGCAGTGAATGTGTTAAGAGCATCCTTTAATGCTCATTCGCGATATGATAACTCTCAGGCCTAATCTCATCTTTGAGATCATTTCACTCCATCTTACTCACACCTTGGAACAATCGCATTAGAAATAGAAAATACTATTGTATTTCGCGTGGAGTAAGATTCCTCTGCCCGTCCAATTTCAAATTACTTACGCCATGAGTTATGTGAGTAACGGTGAGGTATCTCAGTATTTTCTGGAAAAGTTCACTTGGTTTTGAAATTGTAATGATACACATTTCCTGCTTTCTGAGAAGGATATGATGGTTAGTTTTTCTTATCAAAAGTTGCTAATTCAATAAAATAAGCTCATCTAGCACACACTCGGCCTTCGGATTTCTGAAAGAAGAATTAACCCTTTCGTACCGCGTTGACGAACATTTTCGAGCATTTTATAAGTACAGTCAACGCTCTAGCTTAATAGAAGCTATGATTGGTTAGGTACACTTGTACTAACTTTATTATTGGAATTTATTTTGCCCACGAAGTCCAAGTCTGGATGGGGAGAGCCAGTTTGAATTGGGCTATATTCCGATTTTAGATCACTCAGAAATATTAGAGGGGTATCTGATTGGGAGAAATGAGTTTCATTTGACATTCAATGTGCCTCGGTTAAAAGTGTAAAGAAGTTATTGAAGAACATAGGCATCTGGTTCATCCTTATTTGAGCTGAAATACACATTCGCGTGTCCAATTAAAATATCACTCAAATGTGAACAATCGACTTCTTCCCTCCACGCATTAACTCATTGAAATCATCACTCGGCACAAAAGAATCCATGCTGGCTCCGTTTGTTTCAATAGTCCCTCCAGATTTGGAATTCCACAATATCAAAAAGTATCAATATGTTGGTTCTGATAAACGAATATTTCTTTCATTCTTAGGGAAAATATTCTCGTTATTTCTTTCTTTCATGGACGACAGACCAAAGACCAAAGGGTTCTGAAATGCTTATTGTCTAGTTCCTTTGGGAAAGACTCACATGTCCGGTGAATCTGGCCAGGAATCTGTGGGTGACCGAGGAAAAGCCGACAGTTTCTCCCCCTTCATCTTCAAACTGGATCACTGCTTCTTTTCCTTTCATTCCGTCATCAATGGACACTTGATTCATCATGAAGGAGTCTTCATCAGTTATTCAATTGGTTCTGATTGAGTTCTTCTATACAGATGCCGAGACGGATGCGGAATGCGAGAGAAAGCAAGATGCCTCCAAACCACCACGAAAGGGCCCCAACTCTCATATGCGCTTTCGCTTATTTGTCTCTAGAGTTCATGGCTGCCAATCGTTGAGCCCCTCCTCTTCGTCCAACCTGGTCGATGTGACCCGTTCCACATTCGATTCCACAAGAGAGTACAGGTAATGTAGGTTATTCATGCGAAGACAGTTCCACGTATATCGTTGCACAGTGCCATGACGAATCACTGTCACAGTTAAGAGGTACAGTTACAAGTGTCTTCTCTGGTGAGACGCACACTCATATCGCTAACTGCAGGAGGAAAAGGCTTGGAGAAAAAATTGAACCTTGCATGGGAAGAACGCGATTATAGAGTTGATGTGTGCAGAGTCACTAAAGGTGCACATATTGAGCATCTGCAAACACTAAAAAAAAGTTCACTATTTCTTTATATATCTGTGCAATCTTGTGAGTATATGTCAAATAATAAACCTGTAGTAATTTTCTGAAACCGCTGCAATCATTTTGACTAGCCCTGTACAGTACGAGTACATGGCATTGTTCAAAAGAGTCTTCTTTAGGAGTCCAAGTCTGGTTCCCTTGCCTGACCTGATGTTCACTGTAGAGCTAGCGCATTACCTTCCTTGAGTTCATGCATAATTGCTAGACTCCCTTCTCGTCATCCCCCTGGGACTGTCGAGTATATGGGTCATTCCAGGTTCGCACTAAGAGACGATGTCAAAGTGTTAAGGTCACTATACCTGGGTATTAGTAGTTATTGGGCCAGACAGGTATGCATTGATGATGTCGATGATTCCGTAGAGCATATAGCCAGTAGCGATGAGAAATACTAACAGCCAGAAGAATTTTCTGAAGGGAGAGGATTCCCGGTATGCAGACCGAGCCAGTGAATTGAATTGGGCTATATTCCGATTTTAGATCTTGAGGTAGGGGCGAAGCGCGTGGGCTGTGAACAATCCTTGGGGCTGTTCAGGTCCACTCAGAAATATAAGAGGGGTATTTGATTGGGAGAAATGAGTTTCATTTGACATTCAATGTGCCTCAGTTATAAGTGTAAAGAAGTTATTGAAGAACATAGGCTTTTAGTTTCATGTCCATCATAATTTGAGCTGAAATACTTTTCACGTTTCCAATTAAGATATCACTCAAATGTGAACAACCGACTTGTTCCCTTCACGCATTAACTCATTGAAATCATCACTCGGCAAAAAAGAATCCATGCTGGATCTGTTTCACTAGTCCCTCCATATTTCAGAATTCCGCAATATCAAAAAGTATTAAGATGTTGGTTCTGATGAAATTAAATTCAAGATTCAAGATTCAAGATTCAAGATTCAAGATTCTTAGTGATATCAATAGGATATCACGTGTCGAGGTCGAGCGTTCCTTAATTTTCGTGCAGTCCTAACCCTCTTAAAGTTATATATTTTTGTATTTTTGTAATTTCTTTTTTTGTTTTTTTGTTATTTGACTATCTTAGTTGCTTACTGTCTAGTACCTAACGTCAACATTGCCTCCCACCTTTTTGCCTGTCCAAGAAAGCATCTAGTTTCTTGCTAAAGATTGTCACAGCGCGGAGCAGCCACTACTTCGTCATCTAACGCATTCCACGCGTTCACCACTCCGCAAGTAAAGAATTCCTGTCTCGATCTGAGTCGCACCTGCGGTTTGCGGAATTTAAGTCGGTCACCCACAGATTCCTGGCCAGATTCAGCGGACATGTGAGTCTTTCCCAAAGGAACTAGA